AGACCTTAAATTTTCCAGTTGTGTACAAGCGAAGTTTGAAGATTTAAATTGCAAAAGTTCAAATACAAAAATACAAAACCAAAAATACAATAACTTTGATTAAATGCTCACTCTTAATCAATCTAGTGACAAAAACTTCCCTTTAGTCACTTGATACTTAATATACCATCATCATGAGAGTGTTTTTTGATGCAAAATGATCAAAGAAATTGAAATATAAAAGAGTTTATCTTATTGACAAATGTGTAGACATTTTATATCGTGATGTATTGTACATGTTTATTTGTCGATTTTATTATTGTTACAAAAATGAAAAAAAGATTGCTACACAAAACAAGCTCGCCGTGCTCTAGGGCATCACGTCACGTCGGTGCTATTTCACATTCCATCAAGCATTACACGCTTGCGCGTTTTCGCATTTTCTCAGCATCGCGTCGAAGTCGAATGAATTTATTTAATACAAAATAACAATTTGCTTCTCTTTACACACAGACAAGGGGAAAAGACTTCGCTATCGCCGCGTGGCGCCTTGTATGTGCAGCTCGCGTTACGTCAGCGACTGCTGCACTTCGCGATGCACTGTGTTTCCGTTCATTGTTTTCCAAATTGAATTCTGACATTATACCTAATAGCATTTCTACCGGATGATTCGCTAAATCCGAATTTCTCTGCTTCATGAATAAATTATCTTTTTATAAATTGTTATGCACTACGAATGAAATAAATAAATAAAAATTGATTGTTTTCGCATTGTAATTTTTATTTTTTAAATGTTAGTACAGAAATAAAGATTCATTCGATCAATCGGTATAATTTTACTTTATTCGAGTAAATAAAACAAGTGCTTATAACAATTGCGTCGTTCGCGCGAAGTGAGTGAGTGCACTCCTCCTCGTAACGTAATACATACTCGCAGACATCTCCTCGGCGCACTGTCAGCTCATGTATCGGTCCGTGTTAATATTTTCTTATTGCGGAGTTTGTATTACAACCTAAAAATTGACAAGAATTTCTGCGGGGAAAGAATGCACTCAACGAACAAAACAAATGTTGAAGAAGAAGCATCAATAAGTGAGATTATGTCTTATACTGTATTAAATATGTTTTCCGAGTTACTTTAATGCGATTTTAGTGGGTTGTATGTTAGTTACTTAAGGATAATGCGCTTACATGCACTCGTTGCTGCTTACCTCCAGCGTGTAATTTCACACCACCCTCGCAATGTTCACTCAAGGCGAGAAAAAATACTAATGTTCGCATACGTTACTCATAACGGCCATTAATAGTTACCATCACCATCGTTGCGACGTCTTCTCGTCTAGGCGCATCTCTTGCGTGTGTCCGGTTAAATTTGCTCATTTTAACAAGCGATGCTCTTAAGAAATAAGGAAGAAATTTCGAGCTACACCGTGCAACGATAATGTCCCGGCCATTACATATGCGACGGTAGGCGCGCGCGTCTAATGAATGACAACATTAATTAACTACCTAATTCGTTCGAATTATGCGTAGCTGACTTCTAATGAATTTGCCATTCTTTGCGCTTTGTGCGTGCGGATTTGCGGAGCGGGTTTCAATTAATTGTGAAAACCACAAAGCGACATTCGGCGTGGTTTTCCTTCGTCTTAGGTTGTTTGCGTTGTGCGCATGGTATAGTTATGTAAGTTATGTTTTCGATTACGCGTGCCTGTCGCGTATACCACTGCGTCTCGTAGGTGCACGTAAATGGACCGACCTCCGGGCGGTTTCCGCGATGAGCGATGAATGGAGCGAATTAATTGACTTTCGTTCTTCGGATGTAAATTTTATTGTTATTGCGAGGCGACAGGCGACGGCGACGTTCAAAGTCGTGACCGCCATTCGCTGAATTGAAAATTAAATTCCCATATACGGCGCTGCCAGTTTGGTTTGCAGTGCATCTAGACTGGACTATAAACTATTCGCATAACTTTAGTGCTCACTGCATTTGGAGCGTGGTTTAGTGGCTTTGAAAACGCAGTGACATTTTACACAATTACAAAAATACACTTTCAGATGATGATGAAAGATTTTATTAATATAAGTAAATCTCACGATAACACAAACCTATCATTAACGCCTCAACGCTGGCGATGTTGTTTGTTCGTCTTCGATCTTCGGAGTTGGAGTGTGCTCCGGGCGCTGAATCAAGATGCGTTTCGTGCACTCGCCCTCGCACGGAAGGCGATAAAAGTCCTCCTAATGTTTATTGTTCTGGCGCGCTTTACGATTCGCTCGGCGCTCTCTTCTTGCGCCATACCAGAGCGTCGATGAACGCACGATGGCGGCGCTGTGATGATCGCAAGATTCACAGCTATGCAAGAAATAAATGTAACGAACACGCCAACAGCGGATTCCGGCGTCGACACTTGAGCACACACTCGAATAATCAAACTTTAAGACTTTAATTTATGTCGAAAGCGATGCTCGTGAACCCCCTTGGGGAATACGATAAAAAAAAACACACAAATAAAACCAGTACACGAGTACCTACTACATAAATATTTGTTTCAACAATATCTTTCTGCTAAAGCATAAAATGTAACACATTTGATTGATCTTGATGTGTGTAGCGTTTTATTTGCTTTATTCTGTTATTTTCTCGGTTTGTGTTGAGATTTATAGTCGCTGATAAATAATTAATGCAACGAAGGCGCATAAGTCTGTTTTGTAACAAAAAAAACATAAGAAATGAAGCAGTTGTAGTAGTACCTAGTAAGAAAACTTTATTAATTTTATCTTAATTCAATCTAGCATTTTTTCATTAATTATTAATTATGGAAAACCCTCATCATAGCAGTTGATTTTTTATTCTCTCGCACCCTCTTTGCCTCATTTGACTGTGAGTAAAAAATGTATATTAAAAAGTTGAATAAAGCGATGGCGCACGGCAAGGGCACATTGAAAGAAAAGTAGATAAATCATTGTGTGAAGACGCTTATAAGTGGCCGGGGTTAAATGTTAACGTGCGCGATGACTTTGGCACAGTCAACCGGCCGGCGCGACTCCTTTTTTGGAGCGCGCGCAAATTGAATTTTCGTTGTTCTCTTCCTCGTGGCTGGGGTTTGGAGGGTTGGCGCACTGTGCGCGAGAAGAAGCAGCCGAGGAGTTTTAAGTCGTCGAGTATTATTAGGTCGTCGATTCGAAAATGAAGAATCGAGGCTAATAAATCGCCCCCGCCTGCGCGTGCGGCGCTAATAAAATGACTTTTGTCGTTTTGCCATTTTCGTGTCCTCGTAGTTGTCGTCGCGCGACGAAGAAGCATTAAGGGAGTCGACGGAGAGTTTTGGCCGCTTGCCGGCGGAATTGGAAGAGCCCGGGACTCGGGAGATGAATGAACACACTCTAAGGCCGAGTTTCTCAATGCTTGAGAGTTGAAAGCCGAACGACGGAGTCGCAGTGCGTTTCACTCTCTTTGGGGGCACTTTCCATTGTGCGTCTGTGGATGAAAACAACAATAAATATCAATATCAACTTTCGGCAGCTGTTCATCACCTGATGGCGCTTCTAAATGCCATCAGTATCTGCTGAGCGTCGTTTAAAACAGGAACTTATATTTTCCGAACAACGTCAATGTGTTGACCTTAAATAAATTGCAAGATTTATTGCCGGTGAATTGTGGTTGAACTATCATGAAAAACGTGAAAACCACGCCAGACGAAGAAATATTAATTAGAATTTATTGATATGCGCGCAGGTAGAACGCACGTCCGCCTGATTACATAATGAAAACGCTCCCAGTCATCTCTTAATCTCGCGATCCTGTGACTTTGCTTCATTGTGGTCTCTTCTGGTCTCCACATGTAATTTTTCCGCCTGTGCGTTTCTCGTGTTGCCCCGACGCGATGCAATAAATTTCGTGAAATAAAGCAGCATCATTGCCACGCAATAATATCACAATATCGCATACCGGTAGTGCCTCCACGCGTTTATATCTCTTACAAGAGACAACGAGAAGATGAATGGCGATCGTGCGTTACGATTTTTTCCCCTGGCGCGCTCGTCCGTTGACTTCGTCAAACATTTCAATGGCGCCCAAAACGTGTGACCACCCACGCGCGGTAAGTGAATGTTGCCGCGCAATGAATGCGCACAATTTATGACCACAATTAAAACGTTCGTATAGTTTGTTTTCATATTCGGAGTACGTTACATCCTGGCCAGACTAACACACACACACACTCACTGATACAAGCATATCTAATGTTGCGAATGCGGCAATCCATGCGCAACCAAATAAAATAACATACACTTTCAAGCGCTTTGCATTCCGAATGGGATGGTTGCATAATGTACAAGATGTGGCCGGAGTTGTGTGTATGTTTTTTCCCGCGGTGGTTTCTAATTAACTGTTTATATACGGCCGCTTTGCGTATTTTTGAATCGTCCCCATCTGATCGCCAGCATGCACACTCACTGGCGTCGTGGTGGTGGAGGCGGCCGAGGCACATTTGGCAAAACTTTCGATTACACGACGTGCGTGCTCCCAAGTCGTTTGCGAGCAGGAAACTCACGCCGACTACAGCCGGGGACGCCTTTTGCTATTCGTGGTCACGGCCGATGCCGCACCAACAACGAAGAACATCTTCCTAATGGCATGCTCATTGCTTATTAACGAGATATGTTTATTTCATTCGATATTTGCAGGTGCATGTGTTTCTATCAAGTTACTACTGCGTTGAGCACTATTTTATTGTGCTTTAATTGATACTTCGCACAAATGCCACAATAAAATCACATTCATCAATGTTTTGTGCTCAAATTACAAATGGAATGTCGATCGGCTTCTGTTTCTAAGTACAGGCTAACCGGCCCCGGCCCTATAGGTTTTATGTATAAACATGCCTATTACATCAAATTAGTGATCCGACATTTATGTTAACCACTTTATCTTGGAATAGCTTGGAATTGTTTACTGCTTTATAATGAGACATATTTAGCCTTTTACGCATGAAACCAGAAAGAAAATAATGAACCTTAACTAAGTGCACTTTTTTATTGTTATAAACAAGTTGTAACACATTATTATAACATACACTGATTACATGAATATTTCATAATTCATGTTTGATGTGAGCGAATATGAAACTCCCTCGACGCACTCTATTTTCATGTGTACCGACAATATTCATTCCCTCGGGTCAACTCTTCAACGTTTGCTGGTCATGTCGATTTTTATGTTGAACATCGCCAAATATTGAGCATCGAACAGTTTTACATGATATTGGCAGTTGATGATGCCTATTCTATTTTTTGTTCCATGAAACTTGTTTTTTACTTTACTATTTTTTCCTATTTTATTTTGAATTTACTTGTTAATCTGGTACACTTGGTATAAATATGCTTGTTTTGAGTTTTTGCAAGTTGGCCATTCGGGTTTTGACGATTTCCTCATTTAAATTTGCATCGACATCCCAAGAGTCTTACAACAAAGCACCGCTGCTTCCAATTTAAATGTAGATTAATAGCTGGAAAGCTCAAAACACCTTTGTTTTTCTGCCAGAATTTATGTAGGCGTTAATTCTTTAGAAAAACATATTTTTTGTGTATTGTATGTTTTTAGAATATAAATATGCAATTTTCAATTTGAACTGTTATTGAAATGAGTAGGTCAAAATCAAAACAATAGGCCACCAAAACATAACAATGCTAACCGTTCTCGTGATGAAGTTTTAATGAAGATATTAATATTAAAATGTCAGACTTACTTGGCCAGCGATTTTCGGCTTTTAACTTTGAAACTTCACTTTTGGCGGCGTCGACGGTTGTTTTCGAAGCGCTTGTTTTTCATTTTCGCACACTTTTCCGACTAATGCGCATTGTCAAATATTAATTTTCGCCGCCGCCGCTATCAATATAAGGCTTGAACAAATGGCTAACAAAGCGACCAGGATTGCGAATGCGCCGGGATTTCGAATTTTGTTTTAGATGATGACCAAACTGGACGTTTACGATCGCCATAGGGATCCTAGTTGTGTATGTGTGTTAGAATCGGAAATATTTTATTCCCGATCCAGATGGCGATGGAAGCGATAGCATGTCGCTTATGCACTACGTGCCGCTATGAATATTCATGACGGACGGCCGAACGAAATAAAATAACGCTTTTCGGAAAAGCGTGCGTTTATAAATCGCCGCCGCCGTCGTGGCGCGGCCCTCGCGATTAAAATAAAACCGGCTGTTTCAACCTCGAATGCAATTCCTGCTCCCGCGCTGTATCCCGAGTGGTGCGATATTTATTAGCGCGGGGGCGTCGGGAAAATATTTGCATTTTGTCGGCGCGCAGCAACAATAACAAGGATGACGCACCCGAACCATTTCCAGAAGTCGGGCGGCGGGGGTGTAGCATATTCAATTTCACACAAGTAGGTATGTGTATGTTTATCATGCGTACCGATTGAACCCGCTGATATTCCTCGGGAAATTTATTTTGCAGAATTTTATCGCAAAAATGTAAAATGGTGCAAGTGTTGAAAAGTTTAGTTAGGGAAAATAGTGCCTTCGTTTCATTCCTTCTCATTATAACAGAAAGTTTTAAATTTAATTACAACAATAATAACAAGCGGCGCGACGTAGCGCCGCTCCGTACAAACACATTTTATTTAAATTGTGATTAATTTTAAAAGTTTGCGTGGGAGTTCGCGAGAACGCGAACGTATTTCATCCCTAATCCGAGACGGTGAGTGTGTTTCTTTCGCATTTTCACGCGCCTTTCGGTTTATTATTCAATTGCGATGGGGGGCGAGAAGTTGCCGGCCGCCGCGTAATGTCGCGTAATTGTTGGAGTGAAATTAAATATAAAGTTTAAATCGCGTTTCGAAAGACATCGCCGTCTCCCGCAACTGCGCGTCCTCTCGACTAACTTTCCGACGACGCACAAGTATTTTATTGTGCATTATATTTACCTAAGCATAACGACATTACATTAAGTTAGATTGTGACCTAACGTTATCATCAAGTTTCATGATACGCCATTCCAAATGTCAACATTATTGTTTGTGTATGCCGAGTTTTAGCCGAAGTTGTTTTATAAATAAAATGTAAATTTATATTGATTTCGCTTGTCGTGAAGATGCATTAAAAGCCGGATGCGTGAAAATGTCACGTTATTAGATGCTCCAGTCGGAATTCGGAATTCGTGCTGCAAGCCAGAGCTTTTAGTTAAAAAGAAAATTGCGCGAAATGCGATTGCTGTTATTGGCTCGCGTTATATAGTTCACTTAAACCCGCCGTCCCGTCTGCCGAGGAGCTAGTAAATCACGTCGGAATGGACGTGTTCCATTTTAAAAATACAATATTGTACACGACTACCGCGCGCGGCGGCGGCGGAGGCGCCCATCCTCCGGTTGTTCATCTCGCCGCTTCGCTGCGTCCGCCGCTGATTTCATCCCCTGGCTTGTTCCTCCACGACGAGAGGCGAGTTTCCAATCTATTCGTCGTGTTCGGTTGTTGTTGTTACGTACACAAGCCGACGCGCGACCTAAAAGGACGGACGATCCGCGTGTGCGGCGGGAGTATTTGTCAACGTCGTCCTCATCGCGAACGCCAACGCTCATCGAATGCAGGAAACAGGCAGGTTGGAGTCGTAGCGAACCGAGAAATGCTTTCTTTCTGTTTTCGACAATAGCGAAGAACACTTTCTTACGTATTGTCCTGTCAACGACTCAAATTCCACAAACAATGTGTATACTGGTTAATCATAGAAATGTAATTATTTTTTTCAGCACACATTGACTGGACATTCTGGGAAGGTTCTCGCAGCTAAGTTCCTCGGCGAGGCATCCAAAGTCGTCACTGGGAGTCATGATCGCACGCTGAAAATTTGGGATCTCAAGAGTCGAGCTTGTAAGTAACATTTTAATTGTTGTAACTAACTGTCCTCAGTTAAGCGTGGGTGGCTTACCTGGTGGTTGATAATGTCTTAGCTTATTGTTCAGCCTTCCGAATGCGTCTGCCGACGAAGTTTTGGATAGTTTCATAGTAGTATGACGATAATCGAAACGTACGTGAAGCCAGCGTTCTTCGCGCTACCTAACTCGAAGCTCTTCGGTCTCTTGCACTCGCTGCGCTTGGCACGGAGTGCGCCCATCTATTGTCGCAATTTCACGCTTCATTTGCACACTCTTCATCACTGCACATGTTCAATGTGCGCGGGCTTGTTCCGTAAAGATTATCAATGTACAATACGACAGAATTTGCTTTTCTTTTAATACTAAAACTAGTATATTCTTTTTTATCGGATAAAAACAGTTTTAAAAAGTTTTAATCGATTTAATCGAGGCTCTCAGCGCGATGACACGTTTTTTGCATGTGCGCGACTCTAATGCGACTCAGGCCGAAGGGTGGCATGCACGCGCGACGACACGCCGCATGCGAAATGCAGATAAACCCGTGTTTGAAAAAATGTCTACTCATAATTTAATTTAAAATCAATTTGGCCGGAGGAGCGCGCGCGCGCCCGCTTCACAATTGAGTGACGCGCGATCGCGATCGGCGGGCGCTGACATGAATGCCACTCGATGTCGCGCTCGACGTTCTCGACGCGACGCGAAATAATTGCCCCGCTCACGGCTCGAGTACATCATCAAATACATCACACCATTATCACCTTTTAATACGGACATGTTGCATGCACACGAATCATATAAATTGCCAAATTTCCACGCATTGAATGCTTGATTTGTTGTTTGCAGGTATCGAAACAAAATTCGCCGGCTCCAGCTGCAACGATCTGGTGACGGCCGATAGCGGGGGTTCGTCGATAATCAGCGGACACTTCGATAAGCGGATACGTTTCTGGGACGCTCGGACCGACGCCAGCGCCAACGATATCGTCCTTAACGGAAAAGTTACATCGCTGGATCTATCGCGCGGTGAGTGCACGTTTTATTTCTTTTTCCAGGCGAGGTCCTACCAGGAAACTTTCTCGGATATCACTATCACATTTCTTTCGTTTATTCGGGCCGGGTCGATGGAGTATTCCAACGGTTCGGACATTTCGTCTTCTCGTCTTGACTTGCAACGTCAAACTTTTCCGATAAATGTACTCATTCCGCTAGATCCGTGCTATTCCGATACGCCGGCTAAGAGTTTAAGTGAATAAATAATGCGGATTGGAATTTTTCGGACCGAAGAGTCTAATGAACAAGACTGGTCTTTCAGAGTGATGTCTTTTGCTGAAAACAACTTCCAGGACTATTTCTGCATGACCATGTATAATTTCTAATGGAGGAACATACTGCAGCTCCGCTCACGTTGAAACTAGATGAAGTGATTTCCTGCTTTTTCATTCTTAATTATTCACTAGATCACTAAGCGTGTTGTGAGGACATCGCATCCTTGAAGCTCTCAAGCTGACTCCAACCCCCTTGCCGCGCATCTCCACCGCCCCGTATACGGTAAATTATTTACAGACGTTATAGTTCACCCTCGACAATAACGATGCGAGCGATCCTCGAAGTGCTGCTGCTAGTGGGCTTGCTGTTAAGTTTTTCACGACACAGCTGCCGGTGCGCAGGTTCGCTTTTACTCAACCACTCTCGTATGCTCTTCGGAAAGAACCCCAAATTTAATGTCATTATCATTACTTTTCATTGCGCCTGGCTACACACCTTTTTAGCCACGAACGCGCGCGCGAAGATATATTCGTAACATCTGTGTCGTATTCGTGCGTTACGACAACGCGTTCATCGCCCATTGTGCGGCGGCGGGCGCGAGAGCGAAGTACGTTTAACTTTTTTTTACAACTTTTTTTGGTTCTGTCGACGCCCGGCCTCGAAATGAATAAATTACGACCGGTGAAATCTGTTAAGCAAATTGTGAATGCAAATTTTCTATGCGGTGAAGCGGGTAACACAAGACTTGCGGTGCTGGTCGCCTCTCTTGTGGTCTTTTTCCGGTTTTCCGGCATCGCCGCAATTGAGGCAGCGGTAACGTTAAATTACATTTTCAATCAGTGTTAACGCATTAAGGCGACACGCAGGTGAAACTCTCAGTGAAGAAGACTAAAAAAGATTTTGGCAGCGGAGTAATAATTTTTCTGTTTTAAATTTCAGATGGAAAATATTTGGTGACCTGCGTCAGGGACGACACCCTCAAAATTCTCGACCTGCGGAAATGTCAGGTAGTACTGACTTTTAGGTAAGTTCTATATTTTTTGTTCAATGATAATATTTATTCGGCATACAATTTCCATGTGCAGTTTGTAGACCTGAATATTTTGGTTATAAATCAAAATTTAATTCACTACACAATTCGAATGTTTGCCTGCGCCTTGCACAAACCTGAAATTTCCATGAAAAATACACTCGCGGTCGACTTTCACATTTCCTCCGCTGCACATTTTATAGTTCTCATCCGTTATGCGTTTATTTTCCTTTTTGCATTTGCGCGTCTCGGAATCCAATAAACATCTTTTAAACAACTTATTTGCCGTCATTCCGGCGACTCCGCAGTCTCGACGGTGGCTCGACTCGTAGCACGAAGCAAATTTGTTTATTTCCATAGCTATAGATTTCTTTCTCCCAAGTCGCTGCCGCGGCGGCGGGTTTCCGCGTCCCCGGCATGCGAATTTCTTTCTGAGAGATGCACGCCTGGTACTGCATCATTGCGGCATGCCGACACAGGCTGGAAACCAGGACGAGACTCGATTGTCCGCAACGAGCATGCTTTGGCTTCCGACCACCAACCCCACAATCTCCTTTGAGATTAGACTAACTTTTCCGATTTGTTCTTTGACCGTGTCTTTGAATCTCGGCGTCTTGCGTTTTTCCGCGAAGCAAACATTTCTCTTCTTCATATTTTTCCGCTCGTCGCGGTGCAGATATGCGTTTCCGCAAGGATGCCCACCGAGCGAATGGCGTGTTTGATGATGTATTCCACTGTTGTTTTTTCCGCCGCGCATTTTCCTCTGCCGAGGCTTGTGCACTCGAGTTATCATGAAAAAGTGGGTTAAGTAACGAGGCAGCGGCAGCCAGCGCTAGCTGCGAGAAATAACCAACAGGTCTCCGAGATTAAGATAAGCGCGCGACGCTCACTTCTTCTCTTCGGAGCAAAGCCGGTGGCGGCGGTGGCGGGCGACGACGACGCGCGTCTTGATATCACCATAAAGTCATCTTTTTCAGCTATCGTGCGTCATTAATCTTAAACGGGGGCGTTGCGAGCGCGCCGAGCGTATTATGTTATGTTTTCCAGGCATCGCGGAGCTGAAGAAAGCGACGAGCTCGGAAAAGATGAGCGAATTCATGTGAAAATCGCTCATAATGCATAGATGACGCGAACGAATGTCGGGCGACAGGCGCGCTTTCTCGGCATCGCCTTTATTTGATGAACTCCTCGCTTATAAATTTCAAGTTTTATGAGCTTTTTTAACACTATGTCATCGTGATATTAACGTTGTCCCCACCCAGCGTCTATTCACATTTACTTAGTTTGACGATAATAATTAAGATTATGCTTTTGCATCAACAAAGTAATCCTGATCCAAAAATTGATTACCTTTTTTTAGCTGTGATGGATTTAAGGTGGGCTGTGACTATGCTCGTGCCACCTTCAGCCCTGATGGGCAATATGTTGCAGTGGGTTCAGCCGATGGCAGCGTCTACGTCTGGAGCGTGATGACGTCTAATGTAGAGACTATTCTCAAGGAACATACGTAAGTAGTCGCAGACGTGACGTCGAAATTTGTTGATTCGTGTCTTGCAAACCAATATATAGATCTCATGGCATCTTCTCCAGGTCAGCAACGACGGCGACCGCATGGTGTCCTTTCGGCCATTTTCTCGCCAGCGTAGATCGTTCCAGGAAGGTTGTTGTCTGGGGTGATCATTGAAGGAACACAAAGAGAAGCTAAGAATTCCTGTAAGAGGTAAAAAAGTGTTCATATTTCATTGGAAACGCAGAAACAAATTAACACCATTCAGTTCATACTCAGGTGTAAAATAATTGTAAATATTAGATTTATACAAGCTTAGCCAGTTTGGATTTTTATTTTTAATTTGTTTTCTCATCACATACGTTTCAGATAAAGACTCAATCCACTCATTTTAATCATAATTCAGATATCTTTTATGTTAATAATCAAAATCAATGTATACACGATATACCAATCAAAATGGTAAAGCCAAATGTTTTGTACATCACTAGATTTGTTAAGATTTGTTACAAATGCTGTAAAATTTAAAAACGCTGCCCTGATGTGGTGCCATTTGTGAGAATCTAGTGGATTCCACTTCTTAGCGTGCCTTTTAATTCATTTCCTATGGATAAGGAGTACTGGCGTAATAAATAAGCGAAACAATTTATAAGAATGTGATGCATGATTACACTGCGAAATTATTCATTTAGCCAGCGATAAAATAGGAATGAATATAAAACAATACTTACTTTGATATTTAATACGAATGCGAAATACGTGTTCGCGTTAATGCATCATTGAGTTTTCATGGTAGAGCGTCCATAGTTTATTTACAGCGCTTTGTTTTTGTTGTACTCTGTTTGCATTGCATTGCACAGCGAAAGCAAAATATGAATACTTCCATCTTTTATATTGTAAATCGATTGTAATATCCCGGACTGAATGTTTCATTATTCCGAGCGATTAAAAAGTTATTACTTATTGTAATTATTATGTTGATATTTATTTTACCAGATTTATGTCTGGTGAATCCTGTTTTCCAGGTCATAGGTTTAATGTAATTGCTTAGTGTGGACTTTGACTATAGGCAGCATTAGTTGCAGCAAAGCAAAGTGACTTAAGTGAGTTTGAGCTTCGCACGATTCTGTGCAGATGACGCCAGCTGTTACTGATGATGGTACATTTGAATTTTAAATTTTATTAATTTATTTTATCTTACATGAGATATTTAGCGCTTGTGCGCCTGGTAAAATGTGTAAATGAAGATCTATTGAGAACCTTCGCTGTGGGTGCGCGTTCTCCAGTAGTCGGGAACGACATGCATTCATCTTGAGAACGGTTCCAGGTGGTAATCATTGAACGTCCTGACTGATGACTAGACAACAAGATTCTCCGCTGGAATATTAATTACCCGGCGCTCGTCGACGCCGGCGAAGTTTCACTTCGTGCCTCCGCCGCCGCACAGACTCCTGATATATATCTCGTTCACTTTCAATAACTCATCCGCGTTCATCAGCCACCTCGAGGCAACGGGACGCGCCAAGACGCGCACTAAAGTCTAAAATCTAAAACTACACCAACAATAGTTGAACTATGGGCTGATGCAGCAGCTTCCTTCAAGAGTAGTGCGGCGCGCATGGAACAAAACAACGAATTAATAATTTTCTTAATTTAATATGCCAAAGTATACGAACTGAGAAAGTCTGGGAAATGATGAACATTGGGTTGTGCGCGTGCTGTGGATGGTGGATAGACAAGGAGAGAAAATGAGAGGTACGTACAAGATTGCGTGAAGTGGATTAATTTGCTATTTCCATAAATTTGCCTAAATTGCAAGCAGGCGGCAGCCAGGATGCGTATTGCGCGCCGCGAAAATAAATTGGTTCATCAAAGACATAAACCCAGGGACAAAACAGCAAGGCGTCAGATATGCCTGCGCACGGACCGATGTAATCAAGCAATTTCTGGGTAGTGGCAGCGGTGACTACTGCGCCAATATATTTCAGCGCGTATTGTGTTGTGTCGGGCGTCACCAGAAGGACTTCATTACATTTGGCGTGTAATTAAAAATTCAGGAGAATTGAAAAAGTATGTGAAAATCGGAAAAATATGTCTAAACCTTAAAAACAATTTAAAGTGTTTGTTTATAACTAAAAACTGGAATTTTTGTTGGAAGTGTGACATTAATTTCCAACACTTACCCATAGGAGTTAACATAAACGCCTGTTAATGGTCAAATCGCCAATTAAAGGTTGTGTGGGTGAGCAGCTGCTGCACAGTACGACCCAGTGTAGATAAAGTGATGCCGCAGACAACACCTGCGCTCTGCTCTTAAAGGCATTTAAAAGCTTTTACCCCTCCTCGTGATAGCTTTACAACTTAGGGTATACTCCGCTGCATATCTTTGAATTTTACTTATTTTATGTGGTTAGGTGTAAGGAGTCTTTTTTTGTGTTATATGCTAATCATAAAGCTATTTATGAGTGATTTATCAAATAATAGATTCACTATTTTCTGATTCCGAATTCCCTGAGGGCTACATGCTCATTCAAATCATTGTTTACTGTTATCGAATCAAATATTTAGCGCGTTCGTGCACTCACCACACGAAATGTTTTCTTCTACCTACGGCTTTTCACAATGTGAGGAAGTGGCAAATGGCGTCTGATTTTATACCGCAACTGCTTCCGGCCTGGTTAACTTTTCAACGCGCTTTGCGTGTTTGCGGTCTTTGCTTTTCAACATCAACATGGTGGTGATGCGGTTTATACGAAACATTGATGATCTTCTTTTCGGTTAACAAAGGAGGTAAACGCAAAGGTTATAGATTCCTATTTGGGAGACTGAGAGAAAAGAGATTCTTTTGTACTCTTTATTTCATCATTTCTAATTTTCTCTACTAGTCCTCCTCCCATACCCCTTTGACTTTGGACCCCGCGCGGCAAGAAAGACCAGAGAATTGAAGAACTTTGTTCGGATTGAAAACAATGCAAAAGGTTCGAAAGCGCTTTCAAAGACGATGGTCGAGAAGCTGGGGCCGGAATGGGGGAAGACTTCTTTACCGAAAAGCCCGACAAAAGTCAAAGTCAAAAAAGTTCTTATAACCCCAGCGCCTTTGTGTTTTACACGAGGTGGCTGCTGTCGTGCACGTTGTTGGAACGTAAGAAAATTAATTTTGCGAATTTTGAGATTTGCGTTGATTTTCACTGGCGTTGGCGTTGCGTGTTCGCTTGTTATGCAGATGACGAGCATAATGCCATAGCAATACGACAACAACGCGACTAACGCAACAAAACAGCCAACGGGACGTGCATCGGGCGGGGTTTTGCGTTTTACGATCGCGGACGCGATTTCGTGCATTTGAACAAACAGGCGAAAGGGGTGGTTTTGCGTTTAATGTTAATTGTAAATGTTATTCATGTAAACTTTGCGCTCGTAAAGTTACGTTGCCCAACAGTTGATGGGAGATTTATAAAGATTTCTATACAGGAAAAATATAATTAAATGAAAACATTTTAAAGCTCCATTTACATTTGCAGCATTACATCACATGAATTATGAGCAAATTGAATCCAGTTGTCGGAATCACATTTTGTGCAATTTTCGAATTTCAAAACACACAACCACGATTTTGATTAGATTTTAAAGAATTATAAAAATTGTTACATTGCGTCACGTGGATGATAATTATCTTAAATTTTGGAATTTTGAAATTTTGTTTTCGGGTGATGATAAAACAGAACGTTTTAAATGATTAATTTTAGTAAACTTTTCTTCTACAGCCATTATTATAAGCATATATCTTCTAAACTAAAAGCCTAAACAAAAAATGTTACTAAAATATTTTGTTCAAATGACTGCACTTTGTAATAATCAACAATAAAAAATTTAAATTTGCCACTTTTATTTTTCTCATAAGAAATGTTGGGGAAAACTGAAAATCCAGTTTATCGTACTTTTATCGTAAACTAATAAAGATAAAGAAAAACGGTTTTCATATTTGAATACAGAATATAATTATACATCATATACCACGAAAAACATTCAAATTTTCCTCACCTATGCAATAATTGAAAATGATCAATAATTCATAAACTAATTTAGTTATCGGAACAAAACGTTGATAAATGGATTCTAGGCATCGTTCTACATCAGATTGGAAAATTTGAAGAAAATTTGAGCTGTGGTTCCTTTTGGTCCGTTTCGATTTTCACTAGTAATTAGGGAAATATTGGTGTTATCAGAAATCTGACTGCATATCTTTCATCGCATTACATTTCTCTATCGAATAGCGTTTTCCATTTTCTTCTAGCTTAAAATATAATTTTTGGACCTAAAAGTAGTCAAGTGTAACCACTTAACACTTTTCGAGGAGTTTTTGTCAACTTCACAGAATCAAAAAACTGAATCTGCCATTTTATAGATCCTTATCATGGCATGAAGAAAGTGCAATAAGTTCTTTCCTATCTTCATTACTTTCCGAGCAAATCGCGTCAGAAAATTGTTTTTCACTCTTTCAAAAGTGAAAATTTAAAACTTTTATTATATGTAGAATTGTGCCCTGAACGTAATGCCGTTTTCCGTTTTTAATTATCTCTATTCGTTTCCGAGATAATCGGTAATTAAGTATTGTTGAAAGTACACGTCCTTTGACAAAAAATAATTTTAAAATAAGTTTGACCCTGTCCTTCAGCCGAAAATATTTTTAAAAAAAAGTTCAACCCTGTCATTCACTCGAAAATAATTTTTTAAAAAAGTTCGACCCTGTCTTTCGACCGAAAATAATTTAAAAAAAAAATTAAAAAACACATAAACCCGATTTTGATTTGATTTTCTAAAAATTGTAAAAATTATTATAATGCGTCACTAGGATGATAATTATCTTAATTTCAAATGGATGCATAGTAGTTTTGCACCGCTCAAAATGTCGAAGCTTGTCTTTCCTTGCTCTGCAACAAAATGACATTGCTAATTAAACTCCAAACAGTTCGCTGCGGGAAGAGAACAGCGAACGTCGCATGGCAGAGTGAAAATCTAGGAAAATTTAATTATCCTAGCAACATTATTTTTCAAGATAAATTAGCTTTGATAAAGCGTATTCGGGCGGAAATAAAGTACGTAAATTACGTAAAAGTTTCAGCTTCAACACCGCCATATTCCAGCAAGAGAGGATTTGCAGGAATAAGATGCTCGAGAAGGACGACGTGCATTCTCCTCTCGGCGACAAGTCGTCAACCTAAAACTTCTAGCCTGATCAAAGTTCACTTTGAAATCAGGTGGACGAGGACATCCGCTTCCTTCATTGATTGTACCTAGTTAATTAATTTAAAGATTAGCGCTGAATCAAGCGAGCGGTGAGCTTATGGAAGCAAAAAGCTAATACAGAGAAGAAATAAGTGATATCCGGGTGCGTAAGTCCGTAATGCCTCCGGAAGCGGGCGCATCCTGGACAACAACATAACGCTAGACTTCGATTGCGAAATAACAAGCAAACAATCGAAAAACAAAACATGAGCGTTGCCATTTTTAGAATTCAGTGTAAAATTAAGCTGCTACTTGAAAAGTACGTTTGATGGAGTGAGAAATGTGGAAAAAAGTTGGAAATTTTGAGCGGCAGGCAGCTGACGGCAAAAGCCGCAACTGGGCCATAGCAGAAAAAGTGCAAACCGCGTCGGGGATGGGTTGAGCATGGTGGCAGGAGGGTGCAACCAGTCCGTCTGTCAGCGACAGAACGAATGTTTGTTCGCGTTTTGTTTGTCGTGCGCCATGCCGAGCGGTGTCGACCTTCGCACCCACCGAGGAGAGAAATGGAAGTAGCAACAGAAGCGGATGCCGCGTTGATTTCCATGCCAAGCCTGCGGTTTATTATTATAATTTGCGCGAGCGGACAAAAAGTCGTAATTTCGAGGAGCGGCAAGCTGCGCATTTCCTTTTCGTATAACGCACGAGTGCCGGAGTCTCGTCCGGACGTCACCCGCAGGCCTGTA